AAAAAAGAAGTTTTTTAAAGATTTCTCAAGAACCACCAAGCCAATTTTGACGTTCTTACTACCATTAGATGCCTCTTTATGAGCTCTACAACTTTTGTTACAAGTCTAAGTATGATTTACTTAGTAAAAAAAAAGTTTTAGATAGATGCGCTCCACATTCAGGCTTATAGTAAAATTTATATATAAAAAAAAAATATTTTGTTTAGATAACTCGTGATTTGCCTATTAATATAAAAAAGTTTTTCTTGAGTAATTACTAGAAAATTTTTTCTTTTATGTCTATAGTAATTTATATATAAAACTGTGTCATATTATACTATAATCATTCTTTAATTTACTAGTGAATCATCTATTAAAGAACAACAAAATAACAGATAGCTAGTATAAAAACAGATAATATTGGTTTTAATACAAGCAGGCTAATAAAAAAATCTAAAATTTTTAAAAAAATTTTTATAAAAAAAGTAAGCAATGCTTTTAATCTTGAATACAAATTGCACTTAGTGACACAAATATATAAATGCAAACACACAAATAAATATCAATAAAAATAAATAAAACAACAAAAAAGTTATATAAAGTAATATATAAATAAATATAGTTATATATAAAATAGCAAAGCTTAAGATTAAATAGATTATTTAAGAAAATCAAACAAATTATCAGATTAAACAAAAATCTAAATTTAGAATATAGTACAGATAATAGTAAATATTAGAAAATAACTAAGTTAAGCTTTTTTGGTTTTATATAAAATAAATGCATTATATAAAAATCTAACAGGTTTAGACCACAGAAAATTTTGTTTGAGTCTCTATTCTTAACATCTTTTGAATATAAAAGTCATGTAATTTCTTTCTTGAAAATTTGCTTGTAAAAAAATTTAATTGAGTTTAATTAAATTAGAGGCATAGCCTCACTTTAAGATTTAAAAAAAAAAAAATCTAACTTTTTCTGCTAATCTTCTATATACAAAAATATAAAAACAAAACAACAACAAAAAAATAACAGAAATATATAATCAGCTATAGAAAATAAAACTTGCAACTCTAAAAAAAAAGCAAGAAAACTAAAAATAATATTTAGTCTCTTAAAAAACTAGAGTAAATAAAGCAAAAGTAGCAAAGATATACTTGAAAAATCATTAATAATTTTGCTCTTTACAAGTCATTTGGGATTGGCTTTAATACTGTAATGCTATCACACAAGATATATAATATATAATGAAGAATAAACAAAGAAAACACATTAAAAAATACATGACAGATGAAAACAAAGGAAACATACAAACAAAACA